TTCTGGATATGATTTAAAACGCGGGCGACGCGGCTGAGTTGAACAAGCATGGGCAGCTCCCTCCCTGAGTTGTAGCAGCCATGAGGAGCTCCCTCCCTGATGTAACAGCATGAGGCAGCTCCCTCCCTGAGTGTAACATCAGAGGCAGCTCCCTCCCTGAGTTGTAACAGCCATAAGGCGGCTCCCTCCGGTAGTGTAACAGCATGAGGCAGCTCCTTCCCTGAGTTGTAGCAGCCATGAGGCAGCTCCCTCCCTGAGTGTACACGATGAGGCAGCTCCCTCCCTGAGTTGTAACCGCCATGAGGCAGCTCCCTACCCGAGTGTACAGCATGAGGCAGCTTCCTCCCTAAGTGTAACAGCATGAGGGCAGCTCCCTCCCTGAGTTTGTAACAGCCATGAGGCAGTTCCCTCCTGAGATAATACAGCCACGAGGCACCTCCCACCTATAACTCCCACGGCTCCCGCCACAAGCGAGGCCGCATGCCCGCCGAGGGAAGCCGGCTTCGACCCCGATCAAAGCTAGGTGCTGATGCTGACCGGAGGTAGTTTCGCTTGCCTGACTGGAGCCCTGACCCTCTTGAACCACCGAGTGGAGCGAGTCCCCGTCCCTGAATCGCGCATCGCTGCTGCCCCTGAAAGGAGCAGGCTCCTGCCCCAGAAACGGAACCGGTCCTGGGCGCCGAATGAATACGTTTTTACCCTTGACGTCGCCCACCTGCCCCGAGTGGAACAGGCCTCCGCTACGGCCGCGCTTCGCTCCCAGCCCTGAGCGGGTCCGGTTCCCAAATCTGACCGCGGTCAGTCACTGTTCTTGATCCGGCCAGGCTTTCTGAGCAACCCGGCCGTGCAGGCTTTCCGGCAGGCAGTCAGGGCACGTGTGAGGGGGCCGGGCCGACGGCTCTAGAGTCAGGTGTGCAGCACCGATACCTGACCTCGGGTCAGACAGGTGGAACCCATCAATGTAGCTCTGTCACTGGGTCGGCGATTGGTGAGCGAGCCGAATTGACAACTGTGTCCTGCCGTAAGCTGTGCACAGCAGGCAGACACCGTCGCAGATCAACACACCGCCCCGCCTGGGTGCGTGCATTCCACATGCTAGTCGAGTGAGGAGCATGAAGGAGAGAGAGGGTGTGCGAGCGGGTGAGAGAGACCGAGGCGGGAAAGAGGCAGAGATGCGAGCTGAATTTTTTAGCCGCGGCGGCCAGGGCCGGACACTGACACAGATTCTCCCACGGAGCTCCGGCAGCTAAAAAGAACGAGAAAGAAACCCGCGCGGCTGCGCGCCGGCTCCGGCCGCCTGCCACGCTACGCACCACTACTCGGCAGACAGCCATTTGGCCGCCGCCGACCGTAATTCAAACGTCATCTGACTGCTTCAGATGGCGGCGAGCAGCTATCACATACCATACATCCTTATAAGGCTGAGGGCCCGAGACTTGGCACGCCTCAGAAAAGCCGGCGTTTCCATGATACCCGGTCCCAATTAGACGTATTGACATTCGGAGTTCCTGCGTGGCCGACCTCCTTAAGCTGACGCCCAGGGTCTCTGACCCACTATACACACGCATCTTACCACCTGGGAGGTCATTCCATTCATACTGCGTGTGTCCAAAATTCATTACGCTGCGTGAATAAATAGGGAAACGCCCCATTACGATGGTAATACTGGCTATTTACATTCAGGGGACCGACCGATTTGACCCACGCGGCGCCCTTGGCGGCCGCTGATGAAAACAGCCGGCTGATTGTATGCCGATTGGGGTGGGTGAAATGTGAGGCCTCGTTCAAGGTTTCGTGCCAGTATCGGCACGGATGCTTAAGTAAGCCTGCGAGGCAAAGAGAAGACACGCAGCACCTTAACGAAAGCTCCGGCCCGCGATTCCATTGAGTCCAGTGTGGCAATCAGAATGTTCATTGTACGTTTTCACTGAAATCTTGACCTGCATAGACACAGCCATCGGGCTTGCTGCAAGACGAACCGCATAAGTTTTTGACAGTTTGCTGTTTTCGTTACGTTCTGGCTATACAAAACGGCGCCGAGGGGCCGATGAGACCACAGTAGTTTTTCACTTATCTTCACACGCCAAGGGCTCGGTGATTTGTTGCGCCTGCGCTCCAAAAGCTAGAGTAAGCTTTCTTAGGCTCGATAATTTTTTTACAACAAAGTTGTCATAAACTAGGAAATGTTAAATTCTCCACATCATCCAGGTAAGTAACGGGAACAAGTTTTCGGCACGCGTGTGAGTGGAATCACGTTTAATGTTAAAACGCTGTTTAATGTGTGGTTACGCCCATATTCATCTTAAGCTTTATAGTCAGGAAAACCAAAACTAAAGCCAACTAAGTGTCGCACAACTCCGTGAAAGAACTGCAAACCCCTTGCCCTTCCACGGTCCTCGACCTCCATCCCCCACCCTACCTCCCACCGCGCCCGCAGCGTGACAGCGGGAGCTCTGCCGTCCGCCGTCGCCGCTGCGTGCTGGCCGTGACGGCGGCCGCTGCCGGCAGAGAGAGGCGGCACCCGATGCGCCGATAGCCCTGTCTCCGGCCGGGGGTGGCCGTGGTGGCCCACATGCCACTGGGTCACCGGCCCGTCTGTCATCGTGAATACAAAGGCGGCGGCACGGCGGGCGGCACCCGGCGCCGCACGGCCCGCCACCGCCGCCCGGCCGCCCCCGGCGCCGCCGTCTCAAAGGATGGCGACTCCCGCCGCTGGGCGATCGACGGCGGACAATGTCACGAGCGGAGGAGAGAAAAAAACTTGCGCTCAGAGACGTGACGTCATCTGCTCACTCGATCGGAAGGCGCTGCTTCTAAAGTGAACTTCAAGACGAACGCGTGGGAAGTGACGCTGTCACGCATGCATCATGAATGCCACTAAATAAAGTGACGTGTTTGATGACCTATATAGAACATACGTCACTCGGAGCTGCTAAGCCTTCACTGTTACCACTTGTGGCAAGAGTACAATTTTTACCCTTAAACCGATAAACCGAGATCATAACGGGCTCGAGCTGTCGGCAGATCCATTGACGAGCCAAAACAAGATGTTCGCGGCGTTTCATTCTGGACCTCAATTTGCGCATCACTGTGGTCAAGAATAGTCCGAACTGTAAGACACAGTCAATATGTTCATGCGACAAGAGAAACCCAATGTTGGCAACTTTAATTGATCGCAGTGAAAAGCTAGAGAGTAAATTATTATTATCGAGGAGTCATCGAGCGCTGCATTCCAGCAAGGCGATCAAGCAAGGTGAATGTTCTGCTGCTTGATTTCACTCAGCCTACTTTTACTATAGGTGAGGTTTATGGCATGTAAGGCGGGTCACTTGGCACTTCACAACTTTATTGGCCATTACTGTCCAGTCATTACAGACAAGCTCGTCTGCATTTTGCCTGCGAGTATCAACAACAAATAAGCCTGTTTCAGTGCTTTCATGGTCGCACGATGATGATGTGACGATAATTACACATTTTTGTTCGACAACTAAGATTCGTAGGGCCCCCGACATTCGAAAAGTTTCGTGCAATTCGCAGACAAATTTAACGAGGATGGTATGTAATACAGTCGAAATTGTGGACAATGTACTGCTTCCTAACGTACACAATAACCGGTGATCATTTTTTCAAATAGGCAATGCCGACAAAACCGATTAAAGCTGTGGAAAATTGCGGTTTGCGAGTCAACCAAGCCACTCCAAATGAAAATCTACATACGAGACACATGGACAGCTGAAAGCACAAAAACGTGGTGTTCTTCCTACTGACGCAATTGTTCAATAATTTGGCGCAGGACAACGCTTCTCAGTTCCTATTGTCCCGTCGCAGTTAACGTCTAGTTGGCACATCCCCTGCCATCAGACGTCCTATGCCACATGACCATAACCGACAAAACTTCTGCCTGCATTAATTCCATTGACAGCAGGCCACGCTAGCCATCTTGTTTATCCTGAGTCGTAGCACATACAACGTAACTACCTGGCGAATCCACAGCTCAAAGGCGGCTAAATGCATGCTCCGTAAAGTCGGGAAGCTAAGTCGGTACCAGCCATTATCAGTACCGGTGTGACCAAATCCAGTACCAGTCGTCATCAGTACCGGCAGTGATCAAAGCATCACTTAGGGTAACAATCCGAGACTCCCCGTCACAAGTGGACGTGGCCTGTCCTGCAGCCAGCCGAATCGCGCCGGGGCCCGGCCACTGACAGGAGGTCCCGCTGTCCGCGAGCAAGGCCTCTGCGCTGACCTGCGCCACCGCAGGTCACGTGCCGCCCTGACCTCTGCGACTGCCGGTCACGTGCCGCTCCTCAAGCCACACCGGATGTGGCGGAATGCGGTCAGAATGTGGTCCACGCGCACGGCGGGATGCGTGGCTGGCGATGTCACGGGGGCGCGCAGGCTCAGGTGAAGACAGCTTGACGTGGTGTTATGAAGTTATGACCGTTCCTTGCCATCTTCGGCAAAACGAGCTTTTCCTTTAAAGGATAAACAACTAGAAACAATTCTTACGGGCGGTAGGTACAGTGCCGTCCCTTATCACGGAGGTATGCGGAGGTGGCGAATGAAACGTGGCGTGTTTGGCCGCGGATTTCACACACCCACGGCTCGACTGCATTCCGCACGATTAGAACATAATGCACTGAAACATATCCCTTCCGGGAGCTTTGCCACGCCGGCATACACACAACACACACACACACCACCACACACACACACACACACACACACACACCCACACACACACACACCACACACACACACACACACACACCACCACACACACACACACACACCACACACACACACACCAACACCCACACACACACACACACACCCACCACACACACCACACACACACACACCACACACACACACACACACACACACACACACACACACACACACACACACACACACACACATATATATATATATATATATATATATATATATATATATATATATAATATATACACGCCCGTACCCCGAGACTGACTAACCTGGTCGATGCCGTGACCGTAGCGCATCAGGATGGGCACAACCACTGAGGCGTCCTTCATGTCCTTCACTTCCTTCTTCAGCTGCGTGAAATGGAAGAGGCAGTCCTTGTCGTGGTCGATGCGGCGCTGCAAGATGCCAAGGAAGATGTCCAGGCTGTGGTTGCCCAGGATCGGCTCCACCACATTCAGGATGGTCTTGTTCTTGATGAGCCTCTCTTGAATCTCCTGCTGAGTGATACTCAGCTGGCGCTGATGCGACACCTGGATCGGCGCCGGGCCGTGGCTGATGCTGCGGCACAGCGTCTGCTTGGACGCCGTCGACAAACTCAGCTCCTCCAGCTTTTCCAGCGCCGCCTTGTACGACGTCACCACCTTCTTGAACTCGAGCTTCAGCGCGTCGTGCAGATTCATCAGCGAGCCGTCGGAGGTGCCCACCATGCCGTGGTGGCCCATGCCCTCCACCGCCTTGTCCAGCGCCTTACGCCGCGACACCAACATCTTCTTGATCTTGGGATCGGTGTGCACGATCACCTTCAGCAGCTTCTTGCAAGAGGCGATGAAGGGGCCGCACAGCTCCCACTTGATGTTGCCCGTCAGACTGTCCTCCTGCTGCGCGAAGAACTTGACCATCTGCATGACCACCGCATCCGGCTTCAGAGTCTTCACCGAGAAGTTGAGCCCGTCAGAGAGGAACACCTTGGCGTAGAGCGCCTCCAGGATCGGCAAGCTGTCCGGCATCGACTCGATGAACACGTCCACCGGCAGATCCGTCAGGATTACCTTGAACGTGCCGTGGCTCAGACGGTTGACGAAGTTGGCCGCCTCCCGGTACTGCTGGTTCTCGTACAGCATCAGGATGCGCTTGACGGCGAACTTGGGGCTGACGTCGGCGATAGTCATGGAGCTGATACGGTTGAGGTCGAGGTAGCTGCTGGGCTCGTCTGGGTCCGGCTGCCACTTGCTCTTGCGCCACTGCAGCCGCTGCACGGGTCGACGGTGAGCCTTCTCCGGGCGGAAGCGCATCTGCTTCTCCACGAGGTGCGGTGGCGGCGCCATCAGCTGTAGCGGCGCGGCCGGCTTGTACGTCCACGTGGACGTCTTCATGGCCGATAGATCCATGGGCAGCGAGGAGCGGCCCTGCAGCGGGTGCTTCCGCACGTGCAGGTCGTGGTAGCGCTCCAGCCGGTCGCCGTTTAGGCTGTGCAAGTTGAACATGTCGCCGGCCTCAGGTCGACGAGGTGGTGCCACTCGCAGCTGACACCTCGACAGTCACGCGTTTCGAGCGTCGCCACCGCGCACAACCCTGCGGTCGAGACGCCGACGTCAGTCACCTCGCGACCTCAGCCTAACGTCTCGGGTGCAGTCTCCCGCGGCGCTGCAGGCGGCAGCCGTCCAGGTCCGTCGCAGGAGGCGCGGGCTCCCGCCGGCACGGGCGCGTCAGCCTGTCTGGCCGGGCGGGTGCGGGACGGCGCGGGCGCACGAGCGGCGTGTCAGCGGCCGACCGGGCGCGGGTCCGGCAGCCGACTGGCGGCGCGCCTGAAGTGGGACGACGACGGCCCACGAGGCGCCGCTGAGAGAAACCTGGGCTGCGCTGATGGCATGCACCGGACACGTCGCACCCGGCCAGGGGTTAAGTGGGGAATAATGCGCCCGATTACGGCGTCAGTTAGTGCGTCGCTCCTATTATCACCCTCATTTGTCTTGCGCGGCGCCGGCTGGCCGTGAGTTAAGCCGAGATAGATGTTCGAGGAAGGCGCCTGGGCGTGCGTGAGTGGTGTGGGGAGTGAAGGAACGGCCGGTCATCATCGCTTCAGAGCTGTCTATGACCGGGTACTGGTGCCCGCGCTTTGGCCGTTGCGAACATATTGGCCTAGGAGCTTGGGGTACACTATTTTAAAATGTAGAAGCTTCAATACTTACTGTGGCCTTTGAATTTATCTTCTGGCTCTCACAAATCTGGCTAAAAAAGGCCCTTTTAACGTTTCAACAGCACGTGTCGGCGATTTACGGTAGCAACGCTAATTCCATCACTACACAGTCATTCGTCGCTAACGCCGTTTTTTTCTTGTTTCAGTTTTTGCTCTATTGACACCAGATTAGATGGCAGATACCTTTTCCATAAGCCCGCCTCGATACACCTTGCTCAGTTTGGGGCCAGTCTTGTCTGACGAGACCCAAGATGATTTATGTTAAGCTATCCTACGTTCAATTCAATGCTTCTTGGCCAATATACCACCATGATATACCTTCGCCCGTTTTGCTTCCTTCGTAGCCCTCTTTGTACGTGTGCTCGTATATTTGTAGAATTCGCATTAAGGGGTCAGTAATCCATCGTCTTTCGCATCAAACTCGATCAAATGATGTTCCATTCAAAGCTTTTCACGGCCGTTGTTAATTATTGCGGTGACGAGAACACTAACAGCTTGCTTTAACCTGAATACCTGAATTAGGGGCGCTGCTAATTGGTAATAATTACATATAGTATTGTTCGAAAGTGGGAACGTCCTCTTCTGTGAGCCACACTTAGCCTAACGAGAAGGCTGTTCCACGAGTCATAAAGCCCAGGCGACGACCTTCTGCCTTCGAAGTCATGGCTTGAGAAGGGCATTCCAGGACGACATCCCTCAGGTCGGGACACCAGACATCCAGACAGACATCAGACATCCAGACAGACATCAGACATCGTCGCCAGACCGACTTCACGTGATAATAGTCACACGAAATGAAATGTGACGCATGCTGCTTTGATGAGTAAAACTAACCGGACCTTTTAGTTATGAATACTTTTCTTCCGAACAGAAATGGTCGTGGCCTCCGTCGGCAATGTATAATCTATTGCCGAAGAAGCTGACTGAAATCAGTTGAACGAACGCTGCTGCTGCCTTGATTTCACCTTCACTAGGCAGAAGCTCTCTTCACGTTCGGTCATCAAACGATGAGACCTGCCAGATCTTGACAACTTCAAAACTGTGTAGGATCCGAACAGCTTGGACTTGAACTCCATAAACTCGTTTTTCTCTTCCAATCGGGAGGGGGCGTAATTCTTTGACCTTCACAGAAAACGTGGGGAGACAGAGACAGGAAGGGAGGGAGAGAAGGACGGATGAGGCGAAGCAGAGGAGGAGAGAGAAATGGACCCCATTACAGCATATAGAGAGGAAGAGAAGGACGGACGGGGCCAAGGGGAGGAGGAGAGACGACTGGACTCCAATGCATCCTCTAGAGAGGAAGAGAAGGACGCATGGGGAAGAGGAGGGGAGGAGAGAGGACTGAACTCTATCACAGCTTGTTTCATCCGATGCGCAGTACCATCGGTCCGTTATTATTACATTGGACGCAGGCTGCCGGTCCGTTTGGACCATGTCTCGGAAGTCACGGACGTCAAGCCGTGACGACGGAACTGACGTACTTCCGGTACCGCGCGTCAGCTGGCCACTCCAGCGTCCGGCCCAGCCCAAAAATGGGAACAACTTGTGCGCAACCGCTGTCGTGGCAGCAGCTGTGATGTCGCACGGACTGTATATATGATTAGGAAATTGCTGTGTTTTGTAGCTCAGGGTACAAATACAAATGAGCGTCCCTTATGTCTCATCTCAACCGTTGCGAACCGCGTTTGGAACGCGCGCGTTGACGTGGATGTAGCTCTTTTTCATCGCCCCATTATTACGCGTTAATACAATATCGTCCTAGCAACTGTCTGCAATCCTAAGATTTTGGTCATACCGCTATGAAAATAAGTTGCCATTTCCATTATGATGTGATATTATGTTTATCTATATACTAGTTTTATGATTGCATGAGAAGACAGACTCATCATCTTGTGAGTGGAACACTTCTATTCACGTCCAAGGAACACGTCTAAGGAACACTTCTATCGCTTTGTGTCGTCAATGCTTTGGTAACATAGATGCTTCATCAGGATTAAACAAAGGCATTAATATATTCAGCGTTCACGCGCACGAAGGATATTGCTTAAAAATTGACTAGTGTTGGCTCTGGCATTGGCTGGCATACCATCTGTCGAAACTAACAAATTTCGACTGATTTACTTTTACACTGATCGTGACCAAAGCAGGGACTAAAAAGCAAATATTTCAGGTGGATGATGGTTACAGATGATCATGCTTCATGTCGGCACAATGCGTAACTTGCCTTATCTGTTTTGAACCCCGCGAGGTAAACTGATGATCGTTTTTTTAAAGCCTGGTCGTTAACTGGGGCCCCCACGGACCGAGCAGTGCTGGGCTGTCGAACTGATTTAAGAAGCGGTCTATTCGGCTGTACGGTTCAGCTGACTATTCTGTCTTTAACAAAGGATTTGCCGAAATCTCACGTCAATCCCCAAACACGTCAAAACCTGTGTTTCCAGGGCTCGCGCGTTGCACGTGGCGTGCTGCACGCTGTTGAAGCACATTGGTGCTGTTCCGACTTCCCCTTTTTCCGGGTTAAATCGTGTTGATTTCGCGTCACTGCGACCTTGGGTTGTCTGGGCGTGAGTCCGGTTTCCACGTTCCTGTCTTCATTTGCGCCAGTTTTCCACATGTTACCAATCTTACACAATTTTCTTCGCCAAATAGAGGGCAATAGTCTTGCAAGCGAACGAACCTGATCATACTGCTTGCACGCAAACACCTTAAAGATAACACGGCCTAGGCCTGAAGCAATTTGGCTGTCTGTCGCCCAACGCCACACAAGGCTGAGGTCAGTGGGCGCATACCACATCCATGTCAGACGAAACGTGTGTGGGGGCCCGACCGGTTCATGCCACCCCAGCTGACCTTTTCCCGTACCTGATTGAAACAAGACACATTCAGTCTACGGCCTCGCTCACAAAATGACGTACTGATCTAGTCACACAAATTTTGAGGTACCTTGCAAATGTTAAGTATGCTGATCGATGCAACATGAGTGATAGCTATGTGAACCAAATATTTAAGCATATTTGTTGTACCGAAAAATAGTAATGCGTATCGGAAACCAAACAAGGTAACGCGAAGGTAACCAAACAAGCAATAGGTAGCAAGCGCAAGCGCAAAGTTGACGTGTTTAAGTATTCAGTACATTCTTCAATCGATGTATAAAAGCTGATAGCAAACTGCGTGACTTCGCTGTCCACAACGCCAGTTACTTTCTTGCATCCGCGAGATGCCTGTGTACACATGCTTCATTCAAGACAGCATATCTTTGCGAAATATGAAAATTCCTGCACTGTACAACATGTATGAGAGCTAAAGGCTTCCAAAAATAGAACAAGCTTCTCTCTTACAAATCCAAGAGCCAGCCGAGTCTTGAACGAGCGTTACTGGCTGCGCCCGGACGAAGATCCCGTTTCTTTCGTCCTATCAATAACTTTTGATGGACTGTTGATTGAAGAACCGCGTTAACATGGTCGGAAATGGCATATTGATGCACCACTCACCAAATAATTATTCGTTGTTTTAGCTAGACAGTTGCCCCCCCCGCCCCATGACAATAATATCGTTTCACCACATTCTGTCTATCTCCCATTCGATGTTACTTGCACGTGTAGTTTGACAGAATAAACAAACCGCAGTCGACACCCGGCAGTACCAAATTTTCGAGTCCTCGTGATCATCACACGCCGTGTTGTTGAGCTGTACAGTTGAAAAGTAGCGTGTTCCGGTTCGTCCTTGTGCATGACGCGGAGGGTGATGTTAAACGTTCCGGATTTCGAGCCTGTAGGCTTTTGAACACAATTGATGGGCACGCCAGCACTGTGTGGCACATGTACGGGGCACCAAATGATCCGTACTTACGCCATATACTCGCTTAGGGGGTGTTGACTAAATTAGCATTAATCGAGCTGACCACCCGTATATCAACATGTATATTCGTGTACTCCTCATCTAAAGCTATGTAATAAATGGCAAGCATTATCGAGTGCGTGCTGCAGATCTGCCTTCAATCCCGATCAAAACACTGAAATGAAGAGCCCCATCGTGTAAACAAACGTTTTGTCAGTGTCTGGGAGGAGCTTAACGAATCGTGCCTGAAATGCTTCTAGGTAAGTGCCGTCTCCACCCACCGTGGTATTTGTCGGAGCCCGGCAAAGCAGAAGAGATTTACCAGGCGGCGCCGCCCGTTTTTACGAGAATCTCAAACAGCGCATTTGTTTTTGTAGTGGGCCGGCGATAAAAGAGAAAGCTGGCGGGCCGCGGCGCGGATCGCAGCACGCTGACCCGGAGTCCAGACCGCCGCCGGCCCGGCGGGTGCTGAGCGCACGGCCGCCGCCGCCGCCGCCGCCGCCCCCGGCCCCCGTATG